GCCCCAGTTCCTCAGCATCACCACTGTCTGCATGCGGCCTATGGACTGCTGTAGCAACAGTGCCATCAACCACGGGGTCACCTGTAGGCTCGGGCTCCTCTACACAGCCTTTAAAGTGTCTCTCCTGTGTAATTTTAGGCCACAGTTTGTTGCAGGCAGATCTAGTGTCCTTAGACATTGGCCCAGGATTTCTCAGTGAACCCCACACAGGAAAGGATGTTGTCATGTTCTTCCAGCAGTCGTTCAGGGTTGAGTCTGTATCTGAGACCATCTGGAAGCACTTCAGAAACAGTTCCCTGTGTACAGCTTCTTAAAGTTAGCTGTAACCTGCTGGCTCATAGGCTGCAGTGGAGGAGTTGTATCAGGTGGGAGGAACTCGACTGAGAGCCATGGGAATTCTTCAGCCAGTTCTTCCAAATCTGGTGGGTGAGCATCAGCATTGCCCACGATGAGGAGAGCCTTGAATGGTAAACCTTTATCCTCTAGATATTTCTTAACAGTGAGACAGAAAGCCTCCCTGATCCATTCAAGAAAAAGTACTCTTGTTACCGAAACTTTTGCATTAGATCTCCACATGATGCCTGGACCTATCCTTCATGACTATGTTTTCTCAACACTCTGGGCTCTCAGAGTGATAGACCAAGAGAGGTCACCACTCATATCGGCACATATTAGTAAGGTTAGTCTGTCCTGCATAGGCTTGTGGCCTGGCATTTTCTTCTCTTCCTGGGTAGTGTATGTTCTCTTGGGCATTTTCTCCCAGAAAAGCCCAGTTTCACCACAGCTGGAAACTTAGTAAGAGCAAAAGCCATTTCGCAGTGTCATCATTTTGAAGTGTATATAATTTTCAGCAGCCCTGCTATCAGCACTGGCTGCTTCACCGTGCCTAATTATGCCATGAACCCCAGTTCTCACTTTAAAATCATGAAATCACCCCTTACTGGAATGAAATGTTTCACCATTGTCACTCACTGATGGATTATCCTTTATGTGGGCTGCATTTATAGCCCTAGCTTTTTTTTTTAGACAGGGTCTTGCTATGTAGTTCAGGCTAGCTTTGAACTCACGATGTAGCCCAAACTGGCCTTTGAACTCGTGGTGATCCTCCCGAGTGCTGGATTACAGGCATGGGCCACCAAACCCGACTAGCCCTAGCTTTTTGTTTGTTTGTTTTAAAGAGCAAAAGAAGGACAACATAGCAATAGGGGGGCTTACCGAATTACAGACAAAGTGGTAGGACATTATCAATGGTTGTTATTTTACCTATTGGTATCTTCAAGATAGTTTCTCAGGAAAACAAATAGACAAAGAATAGTGAGTTACAGACAAAAATGGCAGGAAATTATCAATGGTTGTTATACTATAGCTTGGATTCTCCAAAGTGGTCTCTAGGGAAAACAAATAGAGCTATACATGAGTGATTAATCAAATAATCATTGACTAGTCTCAATGGTTGTTGTTGAAAACACATAGTAACAAACATGCATCCATTTACGAAATAGCATAGGAACAATACAAACATTACATAGTTATGGACAGATTGGTAGGAAATCATCAATGGCTGCTGCAATACATGTTGGCATCCTCAAAGTGTCTTCTCAGGAAAACAAAGTTATGCAAGAAGGATCCAACATGTAGTTACAGCCCAAAGGTTGGGAAAAAATAGTGGATTACCTCATCAGTGATTCCCCTCACTGAGGTGTGACGGCTGGAAGGAAGGCCAGGACTGAAAAGAAGGACTGAGAGACCAGCACCAGTGTCCAGCAAGGGGCCGTCCACTTTTTCCTCCATAGTCATGATTTCGCGGGATCCGGCCAGAGGGTGAAGGCAGAGTATGCCCTGGGCCCCTTCTTTCCTGCCGGACCAGCTGGTAGGAGGGGTCTAAGCCCTGGGGCCCCTGCTCCAGAGGGCAGCCCGACCTCCAGTGGCCACCCCCACAGTCAGGGCATGGCCCAGGGGGCCTCCCAGGGCAGTCCCTCCCAAGGTAGCCCGGCCCCCGACAGCGGCAGCAGATGAATACAGTCGACGAGCCCTAGTCCGGGGGCCCCGAGAACCAGACCCAGGGTCTGCCTTTCCCAGTGCTGCAGCAAAGGCAGCCGTCCCCTCTTGGTCTCTCTGCCCTCTCCCCTTTAGCCCTAGCTTTTTAACAAATTATAGACTCAGGCTATAACCTGCCATCTGCCTTTCATCTGTCCACACTAATAATAGCCTTTCTATCTCATCTACCACCGCTGATCGTGACTTACTAATTTGAGTAACACTGTTAGCAACACTAGCTTCCTTATATAAGTCTTTTCGCGTAAGATTGTGGAGATGGTGGACTCCATCATTTCCATCATTTCCTCCTTCTTTTCAATCATGATTACTTTACCTGCCCTTTCTTCCTTAGCTTCTTTTCTAGCTTTCTGGGGGCCGTTTTGATAGCAGTAATCATAGCAGTTATATAAAGCACTGACTGAAATCACGTCCACAAACACGCACATCTCGGCTCAGACTGACCCTTATGCACACCTGTATGTGCTTTTCTGGCATTCCAAGTCTTTGTTTACAACCACACAAGTGGCCGGCATTTGGTCTTAACTCAAGAATTTGGTCATAAATTAAACCTAAACTTCTGGTCATAATCCAGGTTGTTTGCAGGTGAAGTTGGTTGTAACTCAAGGATCCACCATATGCATTATCTGTGTACTGAAGATAGGCTGCCTTTTTTTTTTCCTTTGCAAAAGATTCTTGTGTTTACTTTTCAGGGTTGCTGTACTAGATAGTACATATGAAGCCTCTGGGGCTACAGAAATTGATTTCCATGTACGTTCTCTGCATTAGCAGCGAGGCCACCGCTGATCATGCATTACAGTTGGCAGAAACAAATGGCTTGTGAGGAAGGCGGGTGATCGGCAGGAGCAGCCGTGGCCGCAGCTGTGATTTTCAGTGCCCTAAGGGCGCTTACAACAGGCAGATATGAAACCTAGGCCCGATCCTCTAATGATTCGTGCCGGTACTGAAGCCTATGAAAAGGTAGCTTACAGAAATGATATTCCATTAATTAAGTCAAAATAGGGTTCAAAGTTTCTTAAGATTTACTAAAACTTCATAGGTTCACATCTAGGTAATAGTGTTATTTATTTACTTGTGTTTTTGAGACAGGGTCTCGATATGCAGCTCCGGCTGGCCTTGAGCTCACTTTGTAGCCCAGGCTGGCCTTGAACTCATAACGAACCTCCTGCCTCAGCCTCCCGAGTGCTGGGTTTACAGGCGTGCGCTGTATTACACGTAATACTAGTGTGCGCACTATTACAGGTAATAGTGTTAGAAAGGATTCTTTTTAGTCCTGTCTCCAGGCATTAAATGGGGCAGTAACTTTATCAGCTACACTCACACTAAACCCCAACGCTACAGCCAGCCTGAGTAAGGACGAAAGGGGAGTGGAGACGGAAACGAGATGACCACCAACTGACGTGTGTGCTCTTCTCTCCTGCCGCGATTTCCCCTGTAGTGAACTACTTGTGAATCACGCAGTTACTTCACACTGTGAGCGCACCAGGAAAGCGCAGTGTCAGCGTACTTCCGGAGATGCTGCTAGCATGTACGATACCGACATAAAATTGTGCAAGCGGCACATTCTCCGGGCAGAACCATGAGAAAGGCCAGCTGGTTCTTTCGGGTCAACCTAACAGGTTGGATGGGGCATCCCTCCCCTCGCTCCCCGGAACTGGGCACAGCACAACGGTATGCAATGGCCTCACCTGCAGCTGAGGAAAAGGACCGCCCCGGGCGCAAAGCGCGTACTCACCTCTCCTGAGACGCCGACAGCTCAGGCACGCCAGCCGGTCCAGTTGTGCGAGAGAGACCTTACTGCTCTCACGGCCGCCTCTAGGGGGAAATCCTTAATGCTGCCGCTTCCTGGTCACCATTTTGCAAACCGAACAGTGAAGACCTGCATGCCCTTTCCAGGTGTGACCTGGTCTGCAATGAAGGGAGCGGATAGGGACCCCTGGGCGCTGCAGCCACCAGCGGCTGGGGAGCCATAAAGCGAGCCAGAGGAGGGAGTGGGCGCCGCTGCGGAGGGAGAGAAGGGAAACCCAGACTACAGTTGGGTGGCGCAACCCCAGCTTGGCCACCCTGCTGCCCTGCCCCGACTCGTCCTCCTCCGGGCCGGGACTCGAGGTCCGCAGGCTCAGGCGCCAGGGACCTCGGGCCCCCGCCCCGCCGGGACGGACGCGCTGCCGGTGGGAAGAGCCATCCCCGGCCAAGGAGGAAAAGCCGCTCCCCAAGCGCCCAGGCTCTAGCGGCTCTTCCGCACCCCGGGGGACCAACTCACAGCCCGAGTCGACAGGCAAACGAACACACGGCGTAAACCGCCGGCCTTTCGACGCCCGCCACCCCTAACACAGGCTGCGCGAGCGCGGCTGCTCCGCACGTCCCGCCCTGCACCCGCACCGCGCCGCGCCAGAGCCGACCGAGGTCCTCCTGCGGGTGGGCGGCTCCACCAGGGCCCCCGAGGAACGGCGGCCTTGAGCGAGGAGGCTGAGTACGGTCTGCCCAGGATTCATCGCCAGGGAGCCCGCCCGACCGTGTTTCTAGCGAGAGCCCCCAGGCGGCGTCTCGCCTTCCGGTGTCTCCGCGGCTCGTGTCCTGGTTTTAATTTGTAAGGTACCTTGGTCTTGATTTCTTAGTTTTTGTTTCACTGTGTGTTTATTATAGCTCTTAAATCCTTCATGAAGTCAGGAAATACTTCATCAACTGTGTGTCCGTATGCATGTGTGTATACAGAAATCAGGAGAACCACACACTTTCTTACCTTAGACACCAAAAGAAAGTTACCACCAGGCATGGTGGCACACGCCTGTAGTCCCAGCACTCGGGAGGCTGAGGCAGGAGGATCATTGTGAGTTCGAGACCAGCCTGGGCTACAAAGTGAGCTCAAGGCCAGCCTGAACTGCATGTCTCAAAGACAAAAAATAAAATAAAATTTAAAAAAAAAATCAATTGGTATAAACTTGCAGAGTTGAATGTATCATCTCATTTATTTTTGTATCTTAAAGTTACATCTCTTTCTAATACATATGATCTTAAAATAAATATTTAGTAAAGATTATACACAGACACGTGAAGCTAATGAAGCAACGTGAAGAGAATGTGCTGGATGTGATAATGGAAGAAGCACAGATGAAGCTTCAAAACAGAAGTACTTCTTGGCTTTTGTGAGACTCTTAAGTTGTATAGTATAGTCGGTTGTTACACATGTTCTACTACACTCGAAGGCAACTCTTACATGTATGACACACTTCCAAAATGTAACTTACACTGTGTAGATCGGGTGCCATTAGAATGGACCCACTGGGGATTCGTAAGAGGAGAAATTTCTACTATTTCCTCCTTCTCTTTTTGAGAGACCAAAGTTGTGTTGTAAGTCTCGAATTTTTAAATGTTTTTTAAAGATCAGATGAAAACACAAAATGTAAAATATAATCTTCTATCTTCTATGAAACAGCGCACCATTCAGAGGTTTAAAATTTCAGATCCTTTTGGACATTCCAAAGTGTATCTGCACTCCTCTTGAAAAGGGCCTCCTCCTCAGAATTCAAACTGACTTTAACGATATCTGAGACACCATTCCGCCCCAAGATACAAGGGACACTGAGAAAGATTTCTTCCTTTATTCCGTATAAGCCCTGAAAGGTAAAATCAGATTACTGATCAGCGACCCGATATGGGAGGGCGGCTGTGTGAAAGGTCAGCAAAAGAGCATACAGGACAGCCGGTGGCGCTCAGGTAAAACCACCTGGAGGACAGCAGTTACTGGTAGCAAAACCGAGAACATTTTTAGGTCCTGTGACCATATGGAACTTAGCTCAGTGACACTAGGAACGTGGCGGTGGCCTTTAAAGGGACCGGGAAAGACAGACTGTTTTGCCCCTGCCTTACCTGTCCATCTTCACGCCCCGCAAGGACAGGGGCAGTCCTTCGCTTATCTGATGAAAGACTGAGATCGGTAGCCTGTGTCCATACAGGGAACAATAACGGCGGAGCAGAAGATGCCTGCAAGGCGCCGCTTCACACCTACTCAGCCGGCGGTACCACTGGGGCTGCACAGCAGCTGCTACCCTGCGGCCTCTGGAAGGGAAGCCCGCAGTGAAGGCTGTGGGTACTGTGGTGTTTTGTTTCGTGGTACTAAGAGAGTCAACGCAGGGCCTTTACAGCACGCTATAGCCCCCCAGCAGTTTTTTTTTTTTTTTTTGAGATAGGATTTTGCTGAGTTGCTACACTGCCACACTGCCCGGAATGGGCTCCCGGCTTGTGATCCTCCTGCCTCGGCCTTCCAAAGTGCTGGGATTACAGGTGTGTGCCACCACACCTGGCTGCCAGTGGTACTCTTAACATGCCGAGCAGAGCTTTGCCACGGAATGTGCTCCTGCCCTTCTGTGCCCCTAACTACCACCACTCGCTGAGTTCTACCTAGGACCTCCCCTGATGGCCAGGGCCAGAGGAGAGGTGAGCCCCTGCCCCTGCTCGGGCCTGGCCTGTGGAACCTCTGGTTGAGTGGCCCCAGAGTTCTTTTCACCCTTGCAGCCAAAGCCAAGGCTAGAGAAGCGGCTGTGAGAGGCTGGCACCGCCTGGGCAGGCCACACGCCTACCGCATACCCACTCCTGCTATGCCTAGACTACTCGCCCACGGCCCGCAAGGTAAGAAGACCCTTGCCTCCACCACTCAGTGCTCCTTACCCCTGCACTGGTGGGCGGGGCTAGGTTTGTGAGAGGAAGCGGGAGGGCCTTCCTCCAGATCTGATTATAAACAGTTGCCACAAACTGGGTATGGTGTACACGCCTGTAATCCCTGCACTCAGGAGGCACAAGTTCAAGAACAGCCTGGGCTGGGTAGCAAGAACCTGTCTCAAGCGTCCCCACCCCCACAGAATGCAACAGCTGCCTGGAACTCGCGCTGAGGGCAGGGCCTCCCGGACAGCTCAGAGCCCACAGGGGCTGTTCAGCTGAGGCCCTCTCACGCTCTCTCGGCCCTTCCTCGGGGCCACAGGTGTGCCCCATTTCTCTTCTGCTCCCGAAGATTCTCCCTGCAGAGGACGTCTGGCTGCCCCTTCTACTGCAGTAGGGTGCCCTCGTCTGATAGTGCTCTAGCTCACCCGTGCGAGCGCCAGCCACCACCACCGAGGCCGGCAGGCCGCACGCAAACGCCCCGCCGGTTCAGTGCCCGGATGTGGAAGGCCTCCGGCCACGTAGCCAGAGCACCCGCCTCGCCTCCCTTTCCCTCCCTCGGCCGTCTGTTGCCTCCTCCGCGTTCGTTTCTGGAGCCTCAGCGCGAGCCCGTAAGGGTTGGGTGCTGCGGGGGCCAAGGCCCTTCTGCTCCCTTCCAGAGTTTCTGGAATTCGTTCCCTCCCATTTCTGCCGTCTCTCCTCCCTCTGGAAGGGCAGAAGGGTGTTCTGCGTTGAAACTGGAGAGTGCAGGTCAGTCCCACGTACCAGTGGAGGCCACTGGGCAGTCTGTGTGAAAGGGCCTGAGAGCCCTCGGCTGCCCGTGGCCTGCTGCCAGCCCTCCGCCTGCCTTCTCTCTGAGCTGCACGCCTGGCTGGCACTGTGCCCCTTGGATGCGCTAAAAGTTGGCTCTCAGTTGTTCTTGGACTGGCCTCGAAATAGATGACTATTTAAAGAAAATTCCCTGTTATTTGACCAAAAAAAATCCAGTTCATATATTAATGTGAAAAAACTCTATTTTGATTTGTTCACTGAAAATGTGAGGTAGAACAAAGTAACAATGAGAAAGAAGGAATAAGCATGTGCAATGCGCGGCTCTCCCCGCGAGAGCAGTTCTTATAAAACCAGCTTGTCCTGACCTCTGTGAGGTGACTGGATTCCCACGGTACTCGCTCAGGGCCCTCGGGAGGCACCGCCCGACTTCCGCGGAGCCCCAGGGCCGTCCCTTCTGTCCCGGCCTCTGCGTCTCCGGGAAGGGAAGGGCGTGTGGTGACCCTGTGCGCTCCCTCCTCTTCGCGGCCTCCTGCGCTCACGAAAAACGCACTGCATTCTCTTGCCGAGGCGCCGTGCTCCGCCTCTCCCCAGGACCACTGCTAAGCTGGCTACCCCACATTCGGAAGAGGTTTTGGTGCGCGGCTCACAGCATTCCCTGTCTCCCTCAGTTTCCCCGCGGCCGCGCTGACTCCGCTCCTCCTCGTTCTGGTTCCTCGGCTTCCCCAGCCCACGGGACATCTCCCCCGCTACTCCGGACGGGTCTCTCCATCCCCAGCTTACGTCCCAGGAGCCACCACGCTGCGGCTCTTCTGCCCTTTCTGTAAGCCTCATGCTGCTTCAGCTTTCGGTTTTTATGAATACTCGTTTAAAAACAGTCAGAGGGCTGGGGATATAGCTCAGTGGCACAGCGCCTGCCTGGCAAGCGGGAGGTCCTGAGTTCGATTCCCGGTACTGGAAAAAACCCAAAACCAAAAAAAAAAAAAAAAAGGGGCACAGCCCCCGCACCTGTCTGTGACCCTTTAGGCAACATGTGCCCTCTCGGCTCTCCCTCTCTCTCGTGCTCTTTCTTCCTCCTCCACTTCCTTCCTAGTCCTATTGTTGTTTTTGTACTACGAATCGAACTCAGGACCTTGCACTTGCCAGGAAGGTGCTTGTGCCGCTGAGCTATATTCCCGGCCTCCTTTCTCTCTATCCCTGACTTGTCTTTTGCTCTGACACTCCACAGGTGCAACTCACACTCAGACGAATTTAGTTTATCTGCTTTCTCCATGCACTGAGGTCCCTGGAAACACTGTACACGTGTAACATTACAAATTAATGATCACCAACCTCAATAAGCGTCCACCCTGACAGAAATTCTGTGTTTCTATAAACAGCTGCATATGTATGTATGTATGTATGTATGTAAAGCTGAAATCTTGCTCTATTGCCCAGGCTGGTTGCAAACGCCTGGGCTCAAGTGATCCTCCACCTCAGCGTCTCAAGTAACTGGACTGTAAGCACGCGCCACCACACCTGGCTGTGATTTCTTTTTAAAATCAAACTGTCTTTCTCAGTATCCCCCACTAACTATTTCAAAGCCAGGCATGGTGGTGCACACCTGTTATCCCAGCACTCGGGAGGCTGAGGCAGAAGGATCATTGCAAATTCAAGACCAGCCTGCAGGGGCTGGGGATTTAGCTCAGCGGCAAAGTGCCTGCCTGGCAAGCGCAAGGTCGTGAGTTCGGTGTTCGGTTTCCGGTAC